TAACCTAACCTAACCAAACATAACCTAACCTAACCAAACATAACCTAACCTAACCAAACATAACCTAACCAAACATAACCTAACCTAACCAAACATAACCTAACCAAACATAACCTAACCTAACCAAACATAACCTAACCTAACCAAACATAACCTAACCTAACCAAACATAACCCAACCACAAATATGATGGTTTGGCCCGGTTGCAGAAAGTTATAGTGAATCAAATGAGCCGCTGACCACCGTACAGTAACCATGGTCTTTTGTTGTTGGGTTTTCGCACTTTGGGTAGTGCTTGGGTGGTCCATTGCCAAATGCCTGGTTGATTTTATGGGCTGTTTCGGCAGCGCTTTGGTTCAATTTAAATTCGTAAGAGAAAAATTGTCTGAAAATCGCTCAACTTCATATAGAGGCCAAAATCAAAATTTGGAAGGAATGAATAGCACATAATGAATGAACGGATTACTCAATTCTCTATGGATCAGTATATACCATACAATAGAATAAATATTTATCGAGATATGGAGCTACAAAAACACATGACATTAAAACGGACAACGTCTGAAACAATCCAATACTTTCTCATGATATTCCTATGAAAACAATATAGTTACTATCTTAATCAAACTTTGGTTTAATTTATTTCAAAGTGATCAACAATTTCTATGACCATCAATGATTTTATATGAAAAGGAAGAACTTTTTCACTGCATTAGAAGCCCAATAATCTTTTTATTGAAACATTAAATTACTACAGTGACAAAAAAATTGAAATTGAATCAAACTAATAGCCTCTAGCAAAATAATTATTCAGGGTTTTATCTATTATTGTTAATGATGATTTCATAGTTCAAATGAAACTATTTGATTACAGCAAATATATCTTTCGCTCCTATCTGACCTTAATCATTTATGAATTTTCAAATCAAATCCTATCAGAATCATTTTAAATCATGGGCTTTGTTTTTTCAGATGTCCGATGGAAAAGAAAATTGATGTGGAGGATATGGATGATTTCATTCATTAGAAAATTATTGAAGCGAGGTAAGTCGATAAATAAAACATCTTTTTAAGTATTGATGTTCTTTAATCCAGTGAATTGATGAAGTAGATTGAACATTTTCTCACAACTTTTCTGTTGAATTCTTTTCACAACTAACCAAATTAATTTATTCACCAATATCAATTGGTAAATAAATTTCATTTTCACACAAAATTTGACGCAAATTCTTATATTTTTTTGTGATGAGTTGCATGCACCACTCTTAATAATTGTGCAGAAGGACAATGCCATAATTCTGACATATTTGTATGCAATGTATCATTTGAATTGTAAATGTTCCTTTGTTACACAGTTTTTTTTTTTCAGTTACCAAAGATACCACCTTTGTACACTGGTTTGAAGCAGAAACAAATCTGGAGGTTAATTGACTGACACCTATCAGAAAACTACTCTCCTTGCTAATACCACGAAGGGCGTGGAATTTTATCCGACAGATGTTGGTGCAGGATTCTTCACTGAAGTTATTCTTGCATATGCTGTTGGTGATACAACTATCAGAATCGATTTTCGATTATTGGAACACACTTGCAAACGTGTTTCGGGCTGTTTGGCCACTCGTCACTGCAAGGTAGTGTGTCTATCATCAACATGAAGTCGACGATTTCCCATAATTGAAAATCGAATTCTTTTAGTGTATCATTCCTCGAACTGAACGGCAAATAACATGTTTGCCATCGCCCGATCTGCCCGTGAACGAGGTAATCAACTCCATATCCGAATTTGCCAAATTCGTTGTATAAGGAACAAAATTGGAGGAACTCCTGACTAGGTGAGTTATTGAAAACCAGAAAAAGAATTTTGAATCATTGAAAATGCAAAATGTGTCTGTATTTGTTATAAAAGCCAAAAATATCTGAATATTATTTGAATTCAATTATAAACGAGATTTGAGGTAAGTCAGAGTAATTGTACGGTCTGTTATAATGCATGAATTATAAACATGGCAATGTCTGCCTGTTTCTACTGGAAACTAATGGTACAAATGACGCGGTGATGTCTTGGAGACAGGCAGCTGTGTATAATTGACAACTGTGCGACATATACATTTTTTTGTATCAAGTCAAGTTTGATTTTATATTGGAAGATTGAGTTCTCTATTGATTATATAGAGCTTGTTCTTAAAGAGATTTTTGTTCATTTATTATGATTGATTTTCATTTCGTTGAAATATCTTTGTTGTTCGCTGATATAGAAGCCCTTTTACAGTCATGCTTGTACAGTTATCCTGACTTTCCCTACAGCAATCAAGAATTACTATTTTTGTTTTGGAGTATTCGTTTTTATTTATTATCAGAATGATGAGTTGCATGCACCACTCTTATAGTTTATGCAGATAAACAATGCCTTGAGACTGAATGAATTTTATACATTCAATTATTTTAATCGTAAATATCTCCCCATTATTTTCATAGATATATCTTTAACAGCTTCATCTCGTGAACAAAGCCCCAAGCGGATAAGAACCATCAGAGTGGTAAAAGTTGTCACTTGTCACGCTTGTTATTTAAACACTGATTAATCGATTGGAGCTACTTTGAACTTTACAGTCCGCTTTTTTGAAATTGTACATTCGTATTGCTATCGCATATGTTCAAAAGAATGGGCTTTTTAATTTAGTTTAGAAATTCTACCAAGTTGCGTATTACGTTTCAGAAGTTTTCAACGCTTTTATGAGGAACCAGGGGAGTAGTTGTTTTTTGATAGTCGTCAGTCCATTCAACCTACTGTAGGTAGGTATATCCGAGACTTGCTTGAACGTTTGCAGTTCATTTCTTTAGATTTGTTTACTGCTTGTCTTTGAGCTAGCCCACTGACTAATAAGGAAATTTTTCTTCCTTATTCACAGGAATCTGTAAAATTTTGGATAAGCAGTTGGTTAGTACCTCATCCACTAGATGGAGTGACATTTTTATTGTTCCCTCCACCTTAGGAAGAGTAATGAAATACTCTGGAAGAATTCCGATTTCCAATTATGGAATATCATTGACTTTAGGTCGATGATGGCCACTGTCTTGCACTGATGAGTAGCTAATGAGCCCGAAACCGGTCTGCAAGTGTGCCCGTTCCAAAATTGAAGGTCGACTCTTTCAGTTGTATTACCAATTACATATGCAGGACATTTTCTGTGAAGATTCCTGAACTGACGCCTGTTGTGGTATTAGCCAGGGGAGTAGTTGTTTTCTGGTAGGCGTCAGTCCATTCAAAATACTGTGTAGGTATATCTGACACTGGCTTGAACGTTTAAAATTCATTTCTTTAGATTACATTTCACATATAGTAAGTGGGCATACTTGAAGACTGGCTATAAATCAAATTATCTAAGAACAATTCCTTCAGGCCAGTCTCAATTCCCTTACACAGTACGTTAATGGACTGACACCTATCAGAAAACAACTACTTCCCTGGCTAATACCACGAAGGGCGTTGGATTATGTCCACCAGGTGTCAGTGCAGGATTCTTCACAGAAGTTATTCCTGCGAGTTTGCGATACAACTGCCGCAATAGATTTTCAATTATTGGAACACACTTGCAGACCGGTTTAGGGCTGTTTGGCCACTCGTCGGTGCAAGGTAGTGTATATCATCAACAAAGTCGATGGTTTCCGATAATTGAGAATCGAATTCCGTCAGAGTATCATTCCTCGAACTGAGCTGAAGCATACAACAAACAACAGGTTTGTCGTCGCCCCATCTGCCCGTGAACGAGGTAACCAACTGCATATCCAAAATTTGCCCAATTCCTCGTATAAGGAAAGAAAACTTTCACATATAGTCAGTGAGCATACCAGAAGACTGGCTATAAATCAAATTATCTAAGAACAATTCGTTCAGGCCAGTCTCAATCCAACGCCCTTCGTGGTATTAGCCAGGAGAGTAGTTGTTTTCTGATAGGTGTCAGTCCATTAACCTACTGTGTAGGGTGTTGAGACTGGCCTGAACGAATTGTTCTTTTAGATGATTTGGTCTTTGGATTACATACAAACCTAGTTTTTCTTTCGAAAACAACTAGGAGATAAAAGAAAATAGGAACACTAAAATTATTGTACAATCAACTTATAAAATGTATTTATTAAACAACAGATATTCAATTTCTTTATAAAATGAAAAAAAGGTATATACATTTTGGGTACAGTGGCCATAAACATTTGAATAGTAACAAAATAGAGATGTTCAAATCTATATTCGAAAACGTATAAAAGGAACAATATTTTTTTTACACGTGACGTAATATTCCTTACCTCAACTGAATTCACAGTTTTGTTTCTTTGGATATTCTGTTGATATTCTAGGCAAAGCATTAACGTGAGAATATTCCCCAAGAATTCTGTTTCGGATCAAAACAAAAACACAACAAGAAATAAAATAAAATTTCCACCAATAACTAGACTGTAATGTAAATGAATACCTTAATCAGATTCAACAACGTAAGTACCAATCAAGTACTCTTACTACTATCTATTCCGGTATCTGACGAACTAGAAACTGTATCGAAGTATTCCGTTTGTTCAGTAGTTTCCATTCGTAATCCATCATCTGTTTCTTCTGGAAACTCTTGACTTTCTGTATTACCTTGAGAATCTTCTGGAAGGGAACTCATATCTTGCTGGGAAGAAACTCCTTGGTCTACTTCTGCAAAGTCTGTGTTGTTGGAAGATGTTGTTTCTTCATCTTCTTCGTCCTCCACTTCGACTGCAGTGATCGATGGATGAACACCTGGAAAAATATTTGATTCAAATCTTGATGCGAGACAAATTCTTTGATCTGAAGAATTTTGACGTCATTTGACAAAAAAAAATGTATACTTCAGACAAGAATTAAGGAGACTCAAGTAAAAAAATCTCAAAGGCTCTTTCGCATTGAAGTAGTATGCAGATCGAGACCCCGACGTCAAGTCACAAAACCCTTATAGCGTGTCAATACCTAAGGAGTAGGCAGATTGAGACCTCATTGTAGTACCTCATTCGAAATGGTTTCGAAGTCAAAGCTGAAACATCGAATAACTAAAAACACCAATCGCGTTTCAACTCTGGCTTCAAATAATCACAGTCAACGTTTGGGAGTAGGCAGACAAAGACCAGTTACGAGACCTGTGGGGTACGCAAATTGAGACCCTGGCGTCAATTCACAAAACCTTTATAGCGTCTCACTACCTAAAGAGTAGGCAGATTGACCTCATTATAATCATAGCTTCAAAGACGAAACCGAAACGTTGAACAACTGCAAACACCAGACGCGGTTCCAGCCGGACTACTGACCACAGAAACCTTCCCGAAAACACACACTCACATAAAATGTGGCAGACAACTTCAGTGGAGTTGTGTGATTATAGAGGCTCCCGACACCAGGCACAGGGCCTGCCGTTAGGCGCCTGTAATTCTTATGCAGTTGCTGTCGGCGTGTCCGGCCTCAGCCTGTATTCATAGACATAATGCAGCCCTATGAGTGCTTTGTGGTATTGACGAGAGATCGATGTTTCCTTATGCCCCGAGAGATACTAGGTTTACGAATTCCGCAGACTGTACCTAACATCGGGTACAGTCTGCGAAAAGTAGCATCGAAACTTCGGGGAAAGGGCCCGACGAGGACAACTTTTTCTGTATAAAAATGTAGTTTAATTTTAAAAAAACGCAATAGCTTCATTGAATCACTTGTTACATTATCTCCGAATTATTATTGTTCAAATTTAGGATTATACTAGTTAGGTCTTTCCTGATTTAATACAAGGTGTTTTGTAAACCTTTTATAAATTCACCAATCATTTAGCTCTAAATATTACATTCAAGGAATAATTTTCTATATAGAGGAGACTTCAGATAGACCATTACACTGATATTGGAAAAACCGGTTTGGTGAAAACTAAATGTACCTCGTTTCATGTTTTGCATTTTTTCTAGTTAAAATGATGGTCGCGACGTCATTAACATTTGATATGAACTTAGCAACACCGTAAAACTTTCTTCTTCCTGTATTTTTGTTGTTCTGACTAAACGATTTTGTGGTTAGTCCCGAAATTAAGATTCATTTCATAATACGAAACACATATTTCTTTTTTTAACGTTCTTTGTAAGTGGGGTAAATTTCGATGGTAGTGTCATTTTTGAAACTTCGATTTTACTTCGAAAAGGATAAATTTGGATGTCACTTCCTGATGAACAAAAAATGTTCTTATAGAACTAACGAATAATACTGATTTTATAGTGTTTTTTCCGGAAAATGTAAAGGTCTATTGTTTCATAAATGCTTTCAATTTTCCTGAAAATTATTACCCAATCCATCTCCTTGACAATAGTAATGCGGCTCATCCGACGACGTAGAAGTTATCGATCCATCTGGAACGGCCTGTGTCCCCATAATTTGCAATAGCCAGTGTGGAAAACCATTTTCTACGGAAAGAACTACAAAATATTCGAACTGATGAGGCCTTAGTTTTTCTTACTACTCTTTAGCTCTAACGTGTGTGCTTTGTATGGTCTGCTGATGAGCTGGTGTCTAGGATTTGGAGAAACCACGTAATTTTGTTTGTTATTTAACCAAAAAGCTGGTTCACCAGGTCAGGTAGGGAGTCAGAAATTTGAAACTCACTATAAATTTTAAATCAGTAATCTTATCCCTAATCAGTCTGAACATGTCACAAAGGATTTTTCCGTTGATTGGAACTCAACCAGACTATATATAGAGGCAAGTTTTTGCCATGTTCACGCTGCTATTACAACCGATATTATTCAGTTTGTTTTTGTATCTGGACTGACTTTTTACAAGTTTTTATTCAAATTGCTTGGTCTGTTGCAACTTACAGACGCTGCGTTCTTTAGTATTTGTTTGGCAGCCATCAAGAGCGAACGTTTTCGGTGAATTTGTGAAAATGGAGAGATAATTGGTCGTTATGTGGTACAACACTTTAACTTGAAAGTCCCCAGCCCAACGGAACTGGATCCTACACTGGGTGAGTCTGCTCCTTCGTTTACAACAGTAAAACATTGGGTAGCAGAGTTTAAACGAGGCCATACGAGCTGCCAAGACGAGCCTCGCAGTGGTCGACCAAATGAGGTGACGACTCTAGAAACGGTGAAAAAAATCCACAAAGAGGTACTGAATGATCGTTAACTGAAAGTGCGCAAGCTAGCAGACTTAGTAGGTATTCCAAAAAGTGCGGTACACTGTATATTATCTGAAAGTTTGGACGCGAGAAAGCTGTGTGCAAGATGGGTGCCGCGTTTGCTCATATTCGAGCAAAAACATCATTTTCTGTTCCCAAACTTGAAAAAATGGCTCAGTGATCAAAGATTTTCCAACGATGAAGAATTGATGTCGGCAGTTAATGTCTATTTTGAGGAGCAAAACAGTTTTCATTATAAAAACTGTATAGAACTTATTAAACGCGCGCTAGGAAAAGTGTATAGAGCTGCAAGAAGATTTTGTTGAAACAAATACATTTCTTCCAAAATTTTTGCGTTTGTGTTTTCTTTGTTGGGGTGGTACCTCTGGGACAACTTTTGTATACATATACCCTTTTCCGGAGACCTGGTGAACCGTGCCCATTTGCACATTGTCACTATCTTTAAGACTTATGAAGATCGATACTGGCAAAGAAAAGACGATGCAAATTTCTCCTTAGCAGTACCTTGTTGTGGTACAAGTTTATTCTGTGTGAGTGAACTCAGGCACGACTGTAGAAGCCGTACCTTGTGGATTAATGTTACTTGCTATCGAACGAATTCCCAACAAAACGACATTATTTCCCACATCCAAAATATCGACAGCTTCTTGTAACGGAGCAGGTATCTCAAAATCCTCTAGAAGGTCTTGTACGGAGTTCGGGTCAAAAAGTGCTTCCCTACTGGCACGAGCGACTTGATTCTCCAACTGTTGTGACGTTGAAGGTATTCCCTCATTCGCGAATTCTGTAAACAGTGAGGTAGGATGTCCCGAGTTGTGTCTATCTTCAACATTCGGAGCTTCATTTTCGACAGATCTTCCATTCAATTCAATATTTCCATTTTCTGTATCACGCCCATTGGATTCCGTTCCATTATTGGGGTTACCTTCAATACATAGAGAATGGGAATAATTACAAAATGTTATGCCAAGATATCATAGGCCCATAGAGGTTTGCGTGACATACAAATCGAAGTAGTTTGCTTAAATCGAAATCAAATTTACCCAAAAGTTTGGATTGTATAACACTTAGTTTATGTTTGTTTGAAGGTGATTTGAAGAATTGAAAATAAATAGCTTCCGGTGGTCAACAGAGTATTACACGTCAAGGCGTCAAATTCTACAACTCAATTCCCGATTATCTAAAGACTCTTGGAGTGTTCTCTTTTAAAAAGAAATTGAAGNCAATTTCTTCCAAATTTTCATACTTTTTAAGCTTGTTACTATATGATATCGTCAAGCGATTTTCAGTCAATTTATCTCTACAAATTCAAATTAAACCAAATCACTGCCGAAACAGCCCGAAAAACTAACCAGGCATTTGTCAATTAACGGACTGTTCAACGTTGGTTCAAGAAATTCCGTTCAGGAGACTTTAGTCCCAGTAGGATAATACAACCAGCAGGCTCGCTTACCACGCGATCCGCCCGAGTTGCCGGAGAACTTCAACCGCTCTTAGAATGAGATTCTCATCCAACGTGTTCAGTGCTGTAGTATCGGAGGATTCGACGTTACCACGGGCATCGGATTGGTTAAAATTAACGGTCGGTAATTGATATTGTGATTAGTTTATTCGCTGTTGTTATTTTTGTTTTTAGGTTTTGTAGTTGGTTATAAGTAACTTACCACAAAATATTCTATAATAACCTTAAATTTCGATTTCATATGAGCCTAAGGTAAAATAACGAAACTGGCTTCACACTTCGTTTTGAAGTCACCAAGAACTTTGTGAATTTATGAATGAAAGTAGTGGGAGTGTACTTACTGGTCGATTTCTACTGTTAGCGTTTCTAATCCTCAAAGCAGTTCTGATATACACTTTTCGGTATTTCCTTGATGTACTGAGGCATTCAGAGCGAGCATTGTCATTCACATCATCTCGACCTTCTGTGAAAAGCTTTTACCACTTGTTAAAATTTTTCTTGACTCAAAGTTCAATCACAGTATGCCACTGTCAACATTTTGAGTGTTTTTGAGTACTCGATTCCTTTTTTGACAAAAAATTTAATGCAAAACGCCGAACATGCATAACACTTTCAACTTTTATGCCTCTCACCAAAAATTGAACATGCTAAACAGCTGTAACCATGAACAAGTGCACCAGCATAAAAAAATCGCTAATCGAATGTAGGTTGCCCGCGAAATTTGAACATTCACCTTATTTTTCTAACAGACTACGTATATTGTTAAGTTTCCTAAAAACAAAATGATCGAACATGAAATAACTAGTATCCGACCAAAACTGGTTTTTACGACCGAAACCGAATTTCGGCAACGGTCTCAGTTTCGGCCGAAACCGAAACTTCCTTATAAGGATTATGTTTTGGAGGAAAAAATAAAGAAAACGTTATTATAATCAGTCAGTCTTTATTGTTTTATCTTTAAATTACAAAGTTATGGAGTCTTCGACATTATAATCAACATAACAAACCCTTAGTTAAGAAAAAATATCTATTGCACCTTAAAAATACTTAAAATAGGTGAGGTGTTTATTTGAGTAGGTGTAGATCCTTATTTTGAATATTACTGATGGTTTTTCAAAAATATTGAACATAAAATTACTTATTTAAGTTGTTACCTACTATCATAATAGGTATTTATTTATGTTATAAAAGTAAGTCGCGAGTCACGATATGATTAGGCACGTGGACGCGGCAAAATGTCTTCGTCGCTTCTATGAAATTCAACGCGCCGAACATGACCGATCACAGCGCGGGAACTCCCGAATGCAGTTTCGGTTCGGTCGTATTTTCGGCAGGTTTGCTGCCGAAACTAAACCGAAACCCGTTTTTTTGCCGAAACTCGACCGAAACCGAACTTTCGGTCGGACACTAGAAATAACATATAGGAGATATTGGCGTCTGTAATATAATGCGAAAGATTAAATTTGAGGTGTGCAGACATAAATGAAAGAAAAACTGAATTGGAACAATGTGACCCGACCAGGATTCGAACCAGGCTGACCTGTTCCCTAGATAGGCGCATTAATCAACTACGCTATCGGAGTCACCAAGCAGATTGATATCTTCAATTCAGGTTGTTGTAGTGTTAGTGCAATGAGAAATAGTTGATGCGGCTGTCTAGAGAACAACAGAGCCGTGTTCCATGGAATATCATATTATTTTCTTAGTTTTTATGGTTTTGTCCCCGTAGAAAAATTCTCACTTGGCCCTTGAATATAGATGTTCCTTTATTTTTGTTGATTCTATCTGTATCAATGATGTCTTTAATGTAGATGACTGATTTACAATTTAAGTTCCTGTCTTGTGAATACTGTGAATTAAAAAGTACAAAAATATGAATGAATTCCTCTTTACCTTCGATATCTCTACCGCTGTTGCCAGGAAAATTTTCCATCACTGGCTCTTGAATATTAGCAAACGGAACTAGAGCCCATTCTGGTGGTATATTAAACTCTATTACATCATCTTTGATTTTTTCTATTTCTACGATATTCAACTTGTTCAAACTATTTTCTACGATGCAATTAGTGATCGATTTGATATCATCCNCTCAACTGCATGTATGAAACATTCGTCTAAGAAAAATATTGTTAACTAGTAACAGCTTCATCTCGTGAATAAAGCCCCAAGCGGGTAAAAACCATCCGAGTGGTGAAAGTTGTCACTTGTCACGCTTGTTATTTAAACACTGATTAATCGATTGGAGCTAGTTTGAACCCTACAGTCCGCTTTCTTGAAATTGTTAATTCACAATTCATATTACTATCGCATACGTTCAAAAGGATGGGCTTTTTTTAATTTAGTTTAGAAATTATACCAAGTTGTGTATTAGGTTTCAGAAGTTTTCAACGTTTTTATGAGGAACCAAGGGAATAGTTGTTTTTTTTATAGGCGTCAGTCCATTCAACCTTCTGTAGGTAGGTATATCAGAGACTGGCTTGAACGTTTGCAGTTCATTTCTTTAGATTTGTTTACTGCCTGTGTTTAAGCATAGCCCACTGACTAATAAGGAAATTTTTCTTCCTTATTCAGAGGAATCTGTAAAATTTAGGATATGCAGTTGGTTAGTACCTCATCCACTAGATGGAGTGACATTTTGTTCTCTCCACCTTAGGAAGAGTAATGAAATACTCTGAAAGAATTCTGATTTCCAATTATGGAATATCATTGACTTTAGGTCGATGATGGCCACTGTCTTGCACTGATGAGTGGCTAATGAGCCCGAAACCGGTCTGCAAGTGTGCCCGATTCAAATTGAAGGTAGACTCTTTCAGTTGTATGGCCAATTGCATATGCAGGACATTTTCTGTGAAGATTCCTGCACTGACGTCTGTCGGATATCATCCAACGCCCTTTACGGTATTAGCCAGGGGAGTAGTTGTTTTCTAGTAGGCGTCAGTCCATTCAACCTACTGTGTAGGTATATTAGAGACTGACTTGAACATTCAATGTTCATTTCTTTATATTTGTTTACTGCCTGTCTTTAAGCATAGCCCACTGACTAATAAGAAAGTTTTTCTTCCTTATTCAGAGGAATCTAAAATTTCGGATAAGCAGTTGGTTAGTACCTCATTCACTAGATGGGGTGACATGGAACAACTTAGTAAGAGGAATGAAATACTCTGGAAGAATTCCGATTTTCAATTATGGAATATCATTGACTTTAGGGTCGATGATGGCCATTATCTTGCACTGACTAATGGCTAAAGAGCCCGAAACCGGTCTGCAAGTGTGCCCGTTTCATTTGTATTACCAATTACATATGCAGGACATTTTTCTGTGAAGATTCCTGCACTGACGCCTGTCTGATATAATCCAACGCCCTTCGTGGTATTAGCCAGGGGAGTAGATGAGACTGGCCTGAACGAATTGTTCTTAGATAATTTCATTTCTTTAGATTACATACAAACCTAGTTTTTCTTTCGAAAACTGAACTAGGAGATAAAAGAAAATAGGGACACTACAATTATTGTACAATCAAGTTATAAAATGTATNCGATTTCCAAGCTAGAATGTTGGAAGTCAATGCTCTGAAACATTGGGACTTGTTTTATAAAAGAAATGAAGCAAAATTCTTTAAAGACCGTCACTGGACAACCAGAGAATTTGAGGAACTTTTAAATGAAACTGACTCCACGCCACGAACTCTTTTGGAGGTAGGGTGTGGTGTTGGCAACTTTATTTTTCCTTTAATTGAGGAAAATTCAAATTTCATTGTGATTGCTTGCGATTTATCACCACGTGCAGTTGAAATGGTCAAAAGCAATTCTTTGTATAATGCTGAAAGGATGAGAGCTTTTCAGTGCGATATCACAACTGAAGGCGTTTTCAGCGAAGTCCAGAAAGCTTCCATTGATATAGCTACGTTAATATTCGTGCTGTCTGCCATACACCCCGATAAGTTTTTAAAAACTTTGGAAAATGTCTATGAGCTACTAAAACCTGGCGGCATTTTATTGCTTCGTGACTATGGGTTATATGATATGGCGCAGTTGAGGTTTAAGCCCGGCCATAAAATTGCTGAAAATTTTTACATGCGACAAGATGGAACCAGAAGTTATTATTTCTCTTTAGACCACATTTCGAAATTGTTGGAAGAGACTGGTTTTCATATTTCACGAAATACATATGTTCATAGGAGGACAGTGAACAAAAAGGAAAATATTGATGTTCCAAGAATATTCGTGCAGTGCAAAGCCACAAAACTGGCTTGATATAATGGTGAGTTTTTTATCATTTCACTTGTCGATATTCAAGTCTGGCACTTTCTGCACATCTTGAAGTGAATTTATGCAATCTCGACTAGCAATTCAATTAGTGAGTAACAAGTTTTAATTATCAAGGAGCTAGTAACAAAAACTGTACCATTTACGCATTCTCAGTTAAAAAGTGACAATAAAATAGTAAGCAAGCGCTTGAGCTTTCATTGGAAAAAAGGAAATATGTAATATTGACTATTGTATATCTATTATTGTATATTTCCATTTCAGCCATTATAGAAACGAATAAGTTGGAAAAGGGAACTAACAATTCAGCAAGTTTTGAAATTTGTAAAATATTAGGTTAGGTAAACCTAACCTAATTTCACCTGCCTGTGCTTGGAAATTAAGTCTGTGATAGTAAAAAATTTGGTACACAGTAATAAGGTTGAAATTTGCTAACTTCCACTCTCTTGTTACTGCATAATTATATTGTTAATTTTTCTGCATAAACATGTCCATTGGAAAGTGAGGTGTTCAACTTATAATTGAAGATTGTTGTCTTGATTGTTACTTCCTAATTGTTGCTGTTTGCCAATTGAGTGTGTGTAAATTCACCACAAGTAATCCTTTATCAAGTGAAGTGTCAATTCTAATTAGTCTGACAAAATTTTCGATTTAGGGTTACCTTCAATACATAGAGAATGGGAATAATTACAAAATGTTATGCCAAGATATCATAGGCCCATAGAGGTTTGCGTGACATACAAATCAAAGTAGTTTGCTTAAATCGAAATCAATTTTACCCAAAAGTTTGGATTGTAGAACACTTAGTTTATGTTTGTTTGAAGGTGATTTGAAGAATTGAAAATAAATAGCTTCCGGTGGTCAACAGAGTATTGCACGTCAAGGCGTCAAATTCTACAACTCAATTCCCGATTATCTAAAGACTATTGGAGTGTTCTCTTTTAAAAAGAAATTGAAGGACTCAATATTTAGTGGTTATTTCCAGACATAACATTAGTATTAATAGTATTAACTATCCTATGAGATTGATGCTGTTATATAGATTTATGTATGTGTATATATGTGTGGCCCATCAGACCTACTGCGCCAAAGTGAGCTGTGACTTTCCAGAGGAGGGATACATTTAATTTCATATCTACAAGAGTTATTGCTTTAATCTTACATTTCACTAAAATTAGACTTTTGGCAAGATAATCTCTCGGTATTTCGAATTTTTTTATTCAAGTGATAAATTGGAAGCATTACTAGATAGAAACATTTGGTATGTCACATGAATAATTTCTCAGTCTTTACAAGTTATTCATAATGCTTATGGTTTCAACACACTAACACGCTTCATGAAGAGGTTTAGATCATGTACAGGAGTNCGCTACAGGAGTTTGTTTCAGATAAAAACTGTAAAACAAAATTTTGAAGGAGCTACTTTCATATGAACATTGAACTCTACGAAAATCACTTTTTTCCAATTCAGTTTACCCTCCAAACATTCAATATAGAATTTGAACATATATCATTCATTCATAGAATGTTACACTACGTAATATACTTCATACAGGGTGGGGCCCCGAAAACGAAACAGATCGAATATCTTCAAAACACGTGTGCTGAAAAAAAAAATGCAAAAACACGTCGATTTTTAATCCAAGGGGGACATCTTCCTATCATACCTCAACTGTCATACGTCTTCCCCCTCTTGAAAAATTACATGACTTGAAAATTGGAAAATTGTGCATAAATTCAACTAAGATCACTCCAAACTATATTGATTCATAGTAGATGCTCGAAGTGTTCTCCATTCACTGCCATACATTGCGAATGAAGTATCATAATTTGGAACACGGACAGTTTTTTTCCCACAAGAGAGCGCCAAAATCGAAAGGTAAGTATCTAAAATTGCCATGGCTGAATTCCTTATGAAATTACCTTTTCAACGATGTGTCACACTTACCACTTTCCCTATTCAAATTGTTTCGGTGATAGTCACCGAGAGGTGGAGGAAAAGGTATGACAGTTGAGGTTATGATAGGAAGATGTCCCCCTTGGATTACAAATCGACATGTTTTTGCATGTTTTTCAGAACACATATGTTTTGAAGATATTCGATATGTTTCGTGTTCGGTGCCCCACCCTGTATAATTTCACTTACACAGTACAGTATCACCGTCAAAGGTGAACTTCGAAGTTTCGGGACAAGACACTTGTTTCATTACCCCGTTTGCATCGTTTTGGATAAAATTACCAGACAAACGACTCGTTTCATAACATAATAATAATGAGGGGTGAATTAGCGAAGTGGTAGTGCGACCTCGGCCAGATTTTTATATCGATAATGCATTGTCACATGGCGAGAGGACTGAGAATAGCCATGATGCTCTCTAGGTGGTTCGGGAACCAAACAGTCGATGTCGTTGACAACCAAACACGTTTTCATTACTCCCATTAGATATTTCATTACAGTTCACGAAACTTTCTATGGACGAGAAATAAAAGGCGAAGCTCAGTTTATTTTATTTAGGGCTGTC